ACCGATATGTGAAAAGGGTTAGGGTTAGGGTCAACATAACGCATCTGTACGGGGCAGCAACATGCACAATAACACAAGTGCGATCAATATTTTAAAACAAAGGTTTTTAACTTTCTAAATTTAGCTCTGAAATATTCTTCAGAGTAGAAATTCCGAGATCGTGGGGTTTTCCAGTTACCATGTACAAGTCAAAAACCAAAAAATCTGATCTTCAAAAACAACTGGAACACACATTATATTAACAGCACCCAGCCAAGAATGAGAAAACAAAACAGTTCTTTTACAGGCAAACTAGATGATTATTTTGTATTTTTCAGTAGAGACCCGAGAAAGAGTGCAATTTTATTTTAATGCCACAGGACGTACCTAAGTGACGTGACCCGAGTAGATCAGTTGGTTCACGTAGAAACATTGACAGATGGATGAGGAAATATTGATTTCAGTTATCAGTCTCACTGTTGGAGCTCTCAAAGTTTCTATGGCACAGCTTTCAAATGACCATAAGTCCTTACTGAGACATAGTTCTGCCATAGCTTTTATATTCCCACCCAGAACAAGAGTCAAATGCATTAAAAGCTTTTCTATACGTGCCTGTCATCAGTAAATGCATGTGTCCTACTGTGAGGCTGTCATCTGTGCGAGCACTCAAACCATCCACAAGTATGAAATGTACTAAATACACAGTGTGATAAAACGCATGCCATTCAATTTCACACCATCGTATAAGCACAGACATGTAAATGATTTGGCATACAGCTGCTTATAATGGAACATGTTACTTTCCCCATACCCTATAACCAACCATTAAGAGCACATTTACAATTTGTCACTGAAAAATGTCTGCACAGCTTGGTTTTATTACAGTAAGTGCAAAGTAACATTCGGGTCAAACTTGATAAACAGCCACAGGAAACTGAAATTACAGGTTCTTTGTGGCCAGTTGAAAAACTTATGTGACCACAAATTATAATTATCACTAGATTTGCCCATGAGAGTTGAGAGAAAAAGTTCAAGCATAAAGTATATAAAAGAAATTTCTGGAAGACAAATATGATAAGCTATATCCTCCTGAGACCCGGCCCACTCATTTGTGTCCATAATAGTGGACATTTAGTTAACTAGTCGATCTTTTAAGTGTTTTGAGAAAGACTCTTAATGGGGGACAAGGTTCCTGCTGCCTAAATAGAGCTGGGGGATTATAGGGCACTAACATGTTCAGGATAAAAAACAAAAAAACTCAACTGGAGTTAGTTTGTGGCTGCACTAAGATAGGACTAAAAAGAAAAAGGGAAAAAATTAAAAGGGAGTCTAAAACTTTTTGAGGCGACTGTAGAAACTCGTCAAGAGATGTTGGTCATCAAAAAATATGTTATTGTTAGGTTGTTAACTTCACGTGGATTTACACCAAAATGTCCCCAGCGTCCATTACAGAGGATGTTACAAAATTAACTCCAAATAGACAGAAAATCACAAAATTAATTAATAAATTAATAAAATATTGCAATACACTTTTTCTTCAGGTCTCAGGAGGATATGGAATTTTCATTTTTTTTCACTTCACTGGTGTGCTTTGTCAGGGTTAAGAAATGCCAATAATGCAAACCGGTGATAAAAGCAAAGGGTGGCTATTTTTAATTTTCTTGAACAAGTTTTGAGTTATTTTGAGTTTATTTTTGTTTACTTTTTTCCATGTGCGTCCATTCATAGCTTTGATGCCTTCAGTGAGGATCTACACATCTGTAAAGATTTATGGAAATGAAGAAAAAAAAAAATTACGATGTTTATTTAGGTTTTGATTTGTTTGTATTGTGACTTTTAACGTCTTTCTTATTCTGTAAAGCACTTTGAATTATTTTGTGTACAAATTGTGCTAAACAAATAAACATGCGTTCCCTTGAATAATTGTGACAGTGCCATTAATTAGTTTGTGATTTTATTTATAGCAGTACACTTGAAAATGTGTTATCCTGATGGGCCTATTCATCAGTAGTGTTAATTTAAACAATTTCACAATGATTTGTTAACAATTTACAGTGCGAATCCAATTAGCAACATCATGGCTCTTCCTGTACCCATTTTATCTTTATTAGGCCACAGCTGGAATACATTTCTATTGAAAAGGCTTCCAGTCGCCTCATGTTTTACGGATCTTGTCATTTCTTTGCCAGTAAAACCTCTGGATGCTCTCTGTGTGGGAATCTTAATGAACTGGCTCGAGACACCGGGGTTTATTCCGGGACGTCATAAAAAGCTTTTAACAAACTGGTGGTTCGTGTCTAACTCATTTTGTATCTGTGGCAGTGTGTTGGTTATTAACGGAGCAGATCATGTTCAGTGGCCCACATAAAAGCTGTTCTGTTGAGCTGAGCTGAAACGATAGAAGTTGTGTCTACGAGCATGAAAAGAGCTGATTTTTAGAAGTCAATGTTTAAACTACACACCACAGATTTGTCATGGTGGGTATGCTTGAAAGATTTTCTTGGGTTATTTGGGTTACTAAAATTAAGTCTGTGTAATAGATTGAGTGATATTGCATTAAATGTTGCCAAATAAAATCCCTGCTTATTGCTAACTTTGACCTAAAATTATGTGTTTCCAATTTATTTATAAATTAAAAGAGTACTGGTCTAATTGGATAAGTACATTCACCTCAAAGTATGGTTAAAAATACTTGCACATTTGCATTCATTTAGAGGCATTTTAACTAGAAAATGAAGAATCTCTTAGGCAGGACTAAATAAATGTAAGCCGTTATGGCAGGTACTTACATGTGTTTTGATCTGTCCCAGTTTAATCTTTTATTACTGTATTTTTCAGACTATAAGTTGCTTCGGAGTATAAGTTGCACCAGTCAAAAAATGAGTAATGAAGAAGAAAAAAACATATGTCGCACTTTTTGAGGGAAATTTTATAACATCAGTGACCAGGAACAGACATTTCATCTTGAAAGGCAAGTTATAGTAATAATAGAACAGAGAACGATAGGCTGTTAACGTCACATATGAACAGTTCTTCAGATAACTATAGCATAAACAACAGAACAGAACAAGTTTACCAAACTCTAAATCTCACTCCAAATGACTAAATCCATTGAACTCTTTATCCTCGGTGTCACTTCTGAGCAACTCCGTCACCTCCGCAGGTAAAAGGAGCGCCTCTTCCTCTTCTGTGTAGCTCTCATCAGACTCAGCATCAGTTCCAGTTAGAATTATTCCAACCTTCCTGAATCCCAACAGGATGTTTTTGGCTGTCACTGAAATCCAGGCTTTGCCGATCCTATGCCTTCTAGGAAAGTTGCATGGTGCACCCTCCCGGTTATTGTGAAGCTGTGTTCTTCATCACCACTTTCCACCAGTCCCTCACAAGTTTCTTGCTCATTCCAAACTTTCTTTCTGCTGCTCGATTACTGTTTTCAACTGAATATTTCACTACTTGCAGCAGGACAGCGGCTTTTTCTGCAGCAGACATGGTAGTAGAGCCAAGTGACAGTGGTACAGGAGTAATAGGAGCAGCAGATACTGACACACAAACCTAGAGCCTCTCACGGCTGTCAGTGTGAAAATTTTAATATATAAGTCGCACCAGAGTATAAGTCGCAGAACCACCCAAACTATGAAAAAAATGCTACTTGTAGTCCGAAAAATACAGTAGTCAAAAGAATTTAGCAAGTTACCATGATTCTTTCTTTCCTGGCCACAACACCTACAACATTACAATACTTAAACTTACTATTTTTCGCTTGTTGGATATGAACAAAGTAGCTAACTTTTTGAACCCTTATACAACTTCAGTATCAAAAATGCCTTACTCATATGAACTTAAATGACATTTCCGAGATGGAGCCTGTTCTTCCCTTCACTTGTGTCCAAACCGAGTTCATGGACACAAAAGCTTTTCAGTTTCGCTGCTTCCTCAGGGCCTGGTGCATGTTGTTCATTATCCCAAATGGGGCGGTGTGCTATATTCCCAAGACTGGACTGAAACTCAAGAGCTCACTGTGGTTTAGTTAAAGGGAAACTTCATCTCTCCACAGCTTTGAAACATTTCTTATTGAAAGCGATTAGTCAGATGCTTATTTAAATTGCATAATGACAATTTTTAAGTACGTTTTTCACCAAATAAATTTAATTAAGTGTATTATTGATGATATTATTTGATATTTTCAATTTAATAATGCTGTCTTTATTGTAAAAGGCTTTTTGGCATGTGTTTTATAGTGGGGAACATCCAGATAACTATTACAAATATCAAAATAACTAAAAGAATCGACTATTCACGATTATTCCACAATAAATGGTTAAGTAATTTGCCACTGCTGCTCAATAATTTCAACATGACACTATTAGCACTTTGAATTACTTTGTTTTTTGAATTGTGCTATACAAATATCTTGCCTTGCCTATTACCCAACAGGGAGAAAGATACCAGCAACACATGGTTGGTGGCACAAATATCCAGTTTCGTTTGGAGGAGGAGGAGACATTCCTGTAGCCAGAATACTCCTGATATATAATACTAGAGCTTTTGTTTAAAGTTTGTCATGTAGAAACTGGATGCAGAGATGTGATCACAAAATGTAACTTTAGCAACTGTTAATTCACTCTCAGGACAGTGGACATTTTAGATTAGAGCCTCTAAAGACATTTCAGATAATCCTCATGACCAGTGTTAAGTTTACAGACAATATTAACTCTGGATGAAGAAAGAGTAAACATAAATGTCAAAAAGATGAAGAGCTGACCCTATTTATATTTATTTATAACGTTTTTCCATCTAATTCTTTTGTTTTTGAAAAGTAAAAGTTATTTTTTTACACTTTTGTGCTCCTTTTGTCCGATACTTGAACTTCAATCACTTCAAACATTTACAGACTCATTTTCCGATCACAAAAATATCTGAATTATTGGACAAATCCCCAAAAATGGATTGTAAAATGTATTATTGCCAATGACCCCTACTTTAAAACACAAGAGAGCTATAAGAAATATTAAAATACTCACATTTAATATTGAAAGACGCGTTGGTAGACCTCAGAAACTCTCCGGTTGCCATGTTGGATGCCACACACTCGAAATTTCCAGAGTCGAGTTTGCGATCGATGGAGGTGAACTTGAGGTTGCTGCCCTCCTGGAATCGTCTGTCTGTGTTCTGCAGAGTCTCTCCGTTATGGGTCCAACTGTAGGTCACGTCTGCGGGCTCGCTCACCTCACAACGCAACATCGCGCTCCGGCCGTGTAATGCATCCTGGGATTTGGGCTCCTTTGTGAACTGCATGGCGGCGGAGGCTTGGAGGGACAAGACTGTAGAAAGGAAAAGAACAGAAAGGATATTATTATTGCTAAAAAGTACTAAACAAGACCAAAAGTAGAACTGAACTTGTACACTAATTTGAGTATGTATCAAAACTGGAAAAAAAAAAGTTTAACATGGATTTGATCTTCTGTATCGAAACTACAAGGTCACATGGTAATATGAAATACTTGACAAGCTTGAGGTTGAAAATTACATTAATACTTTTGGAAAATGTCTGACAAAAAAGAAGTATTGTGGTATCAATTTCAAATTTCAGGGCCCGTTTCAACGAGAACGCTTGAGGGTAAAAATGACAAAATATTTTATCAGACGTGCCTTTCATTTAGATGGTGACAGTGTCTTTGGGGCTTAAAAATGCAAAAATCTGAAGCCACCCTCCAGAGTGGGAAAGCTGAATACGCTCTGCTGTAGTGTTTCTGTCTACACTGCCCAAGACGCAAAACTCTGATCAGATCTGCTCACGTCACGTACGCGTTTACACCACATACATCACCACCTAGCCGCCTGGCATGCATACCCAATCAAATTCCACACACTTTTCGCCGTATGCACGCAGATTTCCTCCCGAAAATGCTTGTCTAAATGCGGAATAAAAAGTGAAGACATGATGCCCCTTTTGCATTTTCTGTTCAGACCATCATCATATAAACGTAGCCTTAGTATTGTAAAAACACTGGCTAGGACTACGTGGGGTTCCACCTCTTTTTCACTGACAAAATTTCATGACGTTTTCATGACCTAAAGTGAATTTTCCATGACATTACGGCACGTACATGTGTAGAACTGATCATACTTTTACGGCTAAATATGAAATGTTAACTCTTTCCACTCACCTTATGGTTTGATATTATAGTTTTTTAACATTCAGGAAAATACTGTCATTCAAATAATAGTGCATTTATTGTCGTCTCTTTTAAACAAAAGGCACATATGTTCAGAAATAATCATAGAAGCCTAATGATAACTTAACAGAACGATGTAGTTGTGTGAAAGAGATACTAAAATTAATAAGATTACTAAGATTTCCATGACCGTAGGAACCCTGACTACATCTGCTGGCACAATGAAAAGGTGAGTGCTTTGTATGGAGCTAAAAATAGTAGTTATATCCAAACACACCACAGATACCACCAAAGCAAGCTTTTGAAGCTCTGTAAGGACACAAAATAGCATAATGAAAGCAAAATAATACAAGGTTACGAGTAGAAGCTTGGTCATGTTGTATTGTGGTTCTGGCTTTATCACAAACAAAAGTGGTTTCCAGAAAAAACCTAGTCATATGAAACATCTATTGTAGACTATGGTGGCCTGGATGGTCCAAACTAAGGGAAGCGAGGGGAAAACGGGGAAAGTGAATGTGGGTCTTAGTAAAGAGCTGCAGTTAAGATTTTATTGCATTTTCCATTCATTAAGCGATCGTCATGGCGACCACTTCACCTCCAGCAGGAATGTGGAGTTTAGACAAAGCTCCGAGCTGTGAATTATTCCTGGTCAAATTATCCGACAAATGTGTTTCCCGTTTTCCCGTCAGAGGAGTGGACGTGAGGGAGGAGTCACGTGGTCGGAGCATAGACATGATTCCGCGGAGCATTTTCACACACATTTACTCTGAGACGCTCAAGACGAGACTCCGGAGCGGGAATCTCTTCTGCTCCAGTTACCAAAGCATCAAGGGAGTCTGCAGACATTTTTTTCAGTGGCGAATAGGGATCTAAATAAAAACAAACACCACAAAGGGCAACTGAATATATTGGAGGTTATGATTTAGCAAAACCAAATATAAAAGCAAAAGTGCAATAAAAAAAAAATTCCTAATTAAAAGATGTCAGTCAAACCAAAAGAGGAGCAAATTTGGGGGGATTATGAAAACCAAAAATGCGTTTTGTCGAAAGCCACTTTTTCATTTTTGATTAAATTTCACAAGCCATATAGCAAAGAGCAGAGGTGGGGACTTGCAAGTTGTGACTTGGACTCGAGTCAGACCTGAGTCACTATTTTTAGGCCTTGAGATTTACTTGATAAATTGGACTAAGACTTGGGACTCAACTTGGACTTGAAGGTCAATGACTTGGGACTTGACTTGGACTTGAGGCCTGTGACTTGAGAAGACTTGAAGCACTTTTAAATCCAAATTCGTTCTCTTCTGATTGTAATGATTCACTCTAAGATCTTGTCAAAACATTTAAAAATTTACTAAATTAATTTCTACAACTCTTATATACTCTATAAATACTCTAAAATATAAATGTACTATGACTTTATAAGTACAATTTAGCTTAAAATTCATATAAATTGCAAAAATCTAAGCTATACTTGGTACTTTTTTGGTTTAAAGACTTGAAATGATTTGAAGCTCAAAACAAACGACTTGGACTTGATTTCGACTTATAAGCCAGTGACTCGAGCCTCGAAATGGACTTGCCTGTATTTGACTTGGGACTTGACTTGAGACTTACTTGAGACTTGCAAAACAACAACTTGGTCCCACCTCTTGGAAAGATTCACAAATATTAAAACAAAAATATTAGAAAAAAGGCAGCCAGTCTAATTGAAACAGTGCAGGGTTTTACTAAATGATGGCCATTATGTTTCTGAGTATGGGATCCATTATTTTGTAAATTATTTCTCAAAATTTGCCTTTTTCACCATGATCAATATCTCCTACAATACAAAGCAAAGACTCGTATGAACTTGTAAAATAACAAAACCCTTACTATTTTGATCTGTTCTCTATGGTGACATCAAGTGCACACATTTTTGCAGATAGCCAGAGCCGGGTGAAATATTAAATCAATAGTCTTAACATGCACTCTTCACACGTCACATTTAACTCATCAATAACTGTCTCCATTTTAAGCCAAGACAAGCCTTACTCATCCCAGTGGCATTACAGTTTTATCCAATCTGAACCGAGCTTGTTTTTTTAAGGACCGGTCGACTGCTTCTCGTGAGTCTAAAGCAGATCTACACCTGTGCAGAGGAGTGGAGCTCTTTGAGGACTGGAGCCAGAGGAGCGAGGGGAGAGATCTGTCACTAAAGTTAAATCAGGCTGGTTTGAAAAGGAGCCAAACCTTCATCTCTGACCCCGAATGACCGACCGCAGTGCCCTGTCCCAGCTGCAGGTGGCCCCACTCAAGTCGAAGTAAAAAAAAAAAAAATGAACAGACCAGGAATATTAATTGCTTGTTCATTCATGAGTTCAAAGGAGATTTATTTTAGATTAGTTTTCCCAGACTGAACGAGATTGAATGTTTTGTAATATATTCTTAATATCAAGACTATAGTTTTGTTTTAGACTATCATATTTTCCTGATATAGTGTGACCCAAATTCAATAGAGCATTTTTTTTTCTGAATTATTTGACAGAGATTTCACAAAGAGACAAATGAAGGTACAAATGCTTATCAGTTTCAAGCAAAAAACAAAAGTTCAAATTCAATAACAATTCTTTACTATAAGTACCATGTAATTTGTCAAAAAAAAACCCAATAATTTAGTTATTTGGTTGAATTTTGTCTGGATTTCCTTGTATGCAAAAGAAGAAATCGTATGGTTTCATTTTCAGACAAAAACACAGATCTGAGGCATTACCAGAAGACGCCCCCGCAGGATGAGAGGCTGAGAGGAGGAGAGGATGAGAGGATGAGCTTTGACGAGGGCACGGCACACACATGACAGCAGCTCTGGGACTGCAGGCTTTTACAGACAGAGACGACGTTCACATCAAACTGATCAAAGAAACACACCAGACGTGAGGCTTAAGGAGTGTGTTCAAAATAACATGTCTCTGCTCATAATACAACTGCAACTATTTAAGATACACACGTCTTAAAATAGATTGTTCTATTCTACAACAAAATACCTCAACGAAAGGAGAGAAGAAATGTCAATATGAATTGCAAGAAGAAAAAACTAAAATATTTTCACAATAAAATGCCTGTAATTGAATAAATACAGTAAATAACTTTAAATGTCATACCATTTCAGGAAAAAAAAGCAAGTGACAAACCCCCAACAGAAACGCCTTTAAGTCCCAATTTGAAATACAGTATCAATATCGTGGGCTGCTGTATCGATATATCGCCAAGAGTATTTTCGGTATATTTTACTAAATTATTTTGTTACAGTGCAACAGTTTTTGCTTGTTTAATGGAAGGAAACTCATTTATGCGACACATTTAACATTTTCACTGTTTTGATGATTAAAATGTTTGTGTTTCATATTATCTTTGCACAAGAAGTGGTTTAACAAAGACTTGCAGTATCACAGCCATCATTTAGCAATTATTTTTATAGAACTCTATTGAATCGATTTGAAATATATCGTATCAACCTGAAAATGCAGTGTATCGAGGTATGTATTGTATCAGCAACTTCTTAATGATATCCAGCCCTATTAATGAATATCTGTTTAAAGGTTCACTGTGTAACGTTTCTTGTGTAGGGTCCATCACCTGCTTGTCTCTATGGATATGTCATTGCTTTGCCTGGAATGTTCCACAGTATGACATTAAACAGATCCACCTTACATTTATTCGGTTACAGATGGTTTTATAACTTAAAAATACCTAGAAAAACGGGCATTCTGACTGTGAGTGGGGTTGCCTCTCCATAGATCTGACCTGTAACTTGGTCTGGTTTGGTCTCTGTAAAAATACAAAGGTTTAATACCATACTGTGAAACATTCCAGACAAAGCAATAACATCTCCAGAGAGAAAAGCACCAGAAAAGTTACACATTACTAGCCAGGCTGGTGCCACCTAGTGCCTCCACTAAATTTAATTTCTTCCCAGCGACTAGGTCAGGAATCAGAATACACTAGACGGTTTGCAAGAACCCGGCTGTTCAGGCACCAGCCAATCAGCGAAGAGACATACATTCTGTGTCGGCAACGATTCCCAAGATCGAGGATTTAAAGCCGTTGTGGTATAGGATTTTGACCTGGAACAAAGAGAATGTTTGGTGAATTTTATCAAGGGGAAAGAC